TATTATCACTGTGTATTATTACATATAACTGTATTATCACTGTATATTATTACATATAACTGTATTATCACTCTGTATTATTACTGTCCTGAATTAAAAATGTTACTGGAAGTAAAAGTATATAAAGTATAATCAGGGAACTTGATTTTGATCATTATTAGTGATTTTACTGCAGTATTTACTTTATATAGTGCTGAGTATTAATACTTCATAAACTGCTCTGAATGTAGACTCTGAAGTCGTCTGAAGATGTGGTGCAACAGTAGTAGTATAAAGTAATGTATTTGTACACTGAATCAGATCAATGACTCCTGCTGAGGGTTTCTGACATCATCAGTCAATCTGCCAATCAGAGCCCTGCTGTTTGCTCTGTGTGACCTCTGACCTCTGAGCTCTTCCCTGTGGTGTTCTGGTCTGAAGCCAGTCCTCCTGCCACTGAGCTCAGAGCTGAACCAGGATCAGGACTCTATATTTATCTCAGATTAAAGAGCCGAGACAGCGAGACCTCTTCCTTACTCCTCCTCTTCCTCACACTCCTCCCTGTCTCTGTTCCTAGCAGCATGTCTATGAGTGGCTCTGTGGCCGGGGGCCCCCCCTGGAGGAACAACAGCTTCATCCTGGGAGGGGGACGAGACCCTCCTCTGTCTGACCAGGGAGAGACCATCATCGGAGTCTACCTGCTGCTGCTGGGTGGGTGCACACGCACACACACACACACACACACACACACACACACACACACACAGGGAGGGTACACCTCCATTGCACTGTGCTTCAAACAGTGTCTACATATATTAATAACTGTATCAATAACTGTATATAATCTAATATCAATAACTGTATCAATAACTGTATATAATCTAATATCAATAACTGTATCAATAACTGTATATAATCTAATATCAATAACTGTATCAATAACTGTATATAATCTAATATCAATATAATCTAATATCAATGTATTGAGGTTAACATGAAGAACTACAAACTTTCCTTTCGTTGTTAAACGATCAATATACTTCTCATTGAATTTAATGGTGAATTTTTATAATCCTCTAATATATTGATGATATTGATGATATTGATTATATTGATCATATTGATCATATCGATGATATTGATGATATTGATATTGATGATATTGATCATGTTAATGATATTGATTATTAAAATAATTTAGAAACAAGTGTTAAATTAAATGTTGAAAATGTTCTACAAGATTTGTTGTTTATTAGGGACCGAGCCAGCTACCGCTGGAGGTCCCTATTGTTTTTGCTCGATTTCTTCTTACCTATTATTTTTAGCCCCCTTTGACTGCATTTTTGCCCCCTGAACATATACGAAAACTCAATTTTATTTGGCAAAGTTGTCAGGCCTGGTGAAAATGGGGATATTACATGCGTTGCTTTCGGGTCTGCCACTAGGTGGCGCTACTATTGAGAAAAGTATTTTGACTTGTTTGTTACTTAATAACTCCCACATCGTTTGTCGCACGTTCAAAAACCTTATATCCACGCGTTCGGTGAATGGAGCTGAATCTCCCCATATAGGCCACGCCCACTTCCGCCTATAATTTTTTTCGTTAGAGCGCGAAATGTCCTACTTTTTCGTATGTCCGATTGACACCAAGCTTGGGTCCATAGTTCCTCATGTCTTTCTTAGGCACCGTGCACAATTTCAGGCCATCACCACTAGGTGGCACTCTTTAAAATGAAGAGGTTTATATCTCTGCAACGGCACGTATGATTTAAATGAAACTTGTTAGGATGCTTGCCCATGGCTTCCTGAGGCTCACCCAAAAAGGAAAAAAAATCCTGCCACTAGGTGGCGCTCTGGTGGCGGTGTAAATCACTGTGCATAGACCGTAATAGTTATGAGTATGAAATTCACAGGGCACGTGTAGAGTGAGGCCTGAAGCTCACGTACCAAAAATCGTGTTTGTCGTGTTTGTAGCACCCCCTACAGGATAAGAAAAAAGCAGTCCCGGTGCCACGTTTCACCGATATGTATGAATCTTGGTAGGCATGTGTAACATGCCGGGACGTACAAAAAAGCCTCTTGGACCCAAACCCCAAACCCGACAAGAAGTCATTTTGATTTTCATTTTCACTTTCGGCGAACTTTTCACGTTGTATTTGTACGAACTCCTCTTGGGGAATTTATCGGATCTTCTTCAAAATTGGTCAGTACAGTCACAAAATGGTGCTGATTAAAGGTTGTGCTATTTGTGCATGTACATTAAAGGGCGTGTCCGTGGCGTGGCATCAAAGTCAGCAATTTCGAATTCCGTGCTTATTTTCTGTGATTTTTCGCCTTGTATTTGAACGAACTCCTCCTAGGGAATTTATCGGATCAACTTCAAATTTAATCAGCGCAATCTAAAGACATTCATGATTAAAAGTTGTGCTATTTACGACATTCCGTCAAACGGCGTGCCCGTGGCTTTGCATTGAATTTCGACCATTTGGCCATTTTGATTTTCATGTTCATGTTCTGTGATTTTTCGTATTGTATTTTAACGAACTCCTCCTAGGTCATTCATCTGATCTGCTTCCAAATTGGTCATTACAGTCAAAGTATGTTGCTGATTAAAAGTTGTGCTATTTTTGCACGCACATTAAAGGGCGTGTCTATGGCGTGCTATCACATTTGGCCAGGTCGTGTTGTATGTCAAGCATTTAAGTCCTTTCCGTCATTTCACAGTGATTTTCAACGTTTTTTTGCGTTGTAGTTCAACAAACTCCTACTAGGGAATTTATCGGATTAACGTCAAAATTGGTCAGTACAGTTAAAAAACAATGCTGATCAAAAGTTGTGCTATATGTGACTGTACGCTTAACCGCGTGCCCGTGACGACGTGTCGATTCCACCGATTGGCCATCAAACAGATAGTACTCATATCTTCAGTGTACAGTCCCACCCTGAACACGTCCTCATAACTTCAGCATACACGGTCCAATCTCAATGAAACTTCATGTGTTTGATAACAGTCCCGCCCTGAACACGTCTACATGACAATGGGGATGGCTAGTGTGACGTAAGGAATCGTTAGGAATCACTTCTGTGTCCATTAGCATTTTTAGGTCACGTAAACAACAATGGCTACAGCACTGGAACCGGTCACCTATTATACAGTGACAGCCTACTTACTGACATCCCAAAGTCTGTTCAAAAACTCCTGTAATTCAAATAGGGTAATAACAGTTAGTTCAATGTCAGGTGGAAGTCTAACAGGGAAAGTGTGGAAGAGGGCCCCGGCACCCAAGATAAACCGTATCAACTTCAGCCATCTCTTCTTCTCTTTTTCGTTGAGGGGAACTCAGCAATAAGAGATCGTTCTGTTCACATCGTTTCTGTTATTGCAACACGGGATACAGTGCTGCACTACTTTTTTTTTTTGGAAATTACGAGAATAAAGTCATAATATTACGAGAATAAAGTTGTAATGTTACGAGAATAAAGTCGCAATATTAAGAGAATAATGTAATAATAATACAAGAAAAAAAACTCGTTTTAATGAGAGAAAGGCTTCGATAGAGTTATCAAGATCTGATGTGAGCAGCTCAACCGAACAGCAGCCTCAGTCTGAGCCCAGCAGCCGCTGTTTGTCTCAGTCGTACTGTACAGTCGACAGGTAAGATAACGTATTCATCATTTTGTCGTTAAACAGTTATGACTTTATTCTCGTAATATTATGACTTTAGCTATCTATCTATAAAGCAAGGAATCTCTGTCTGTCTGTCTGTCTGTCTGTCTGTATGTGTGTGTGTGTGTGTGTGTTGTGTGTGTGTGTGTGTGTGTGTGTGTGTGTGTGTGTGTGTGTGTGTGTTTGTGTGTGTGTTTGTGTGTGTCTTTGTGTTTGTGTGTGTGTGTGTGTGTGTGTGTGTGTTTGTGTGTGTGTGTGTGTGTGTGTGTGTGTGTGTGTGTGTGTGTGTGTGTGTGTGTGTGTGTGTGTGTGTGTTTGTGTGTGTGTGTGTGTGTGTGTGTGTGTGTGTGTGTTTGTTTGTTTTGTGTGTGTGTGTGTGTGTGTTGTGTGTCTGTATGTGTGTGTGTGTGTTGTGTGTGTGTGTTTGTGTGTTTGTGTGTGTGTGTGTGTGTGTGTGTGTGTTTGTGGTGTGTTGTGTGTGTGTGTGTGTGTGTGTGTTTGTGTGTGTGTGTGTGTGTGTGTGTGTTTGTGTGTGTGTGTGTTTGTGTGTGTGTGTGTGTGTGTGTGTGTTTGTTTGTTTTGTGTGTGTGTGTGTGTGTGTGTTGTGTGTCTGTATGTGTGTGTGTGTTTGTGTGTGTTTGTGTGTGTGTCTTTTTGTTTGTGTGTGTGTGTGTGTGTGTGTGTGTTTGTGTGTGTGTTTGTTTGTGTGTGTCTGTTTGTGTGTGTGTGTGTGTGTGTGTGTGTGTGTGTGTGTGTGTGTGTGTGTGTGTGTGTGTGTGTGTGTGTGTGTGTGTGTGTGTGTGTGTTTGCTTGTTTGTTGTGTTGTAAACAATTTGTCTCTGTGGTGCGTTCAGGTTGGCTGTCCTGGTTTGGTAACAGCATCGTCCTCTTCGTGCTGTACAGACAGAGAGCCACCCTGCAGCCCACAGACTACCTGACCTTTAACCTCGCCGTCTCTGACGCCAGCATCTCCGTGTTTGGATACTCCAGAGGGATCCTTGAGATCTTTAACGTCTTCCAGGACAGCGGCTTCTTCATCTCCTCCATCTGGACCTGCCAGGTACACCTGAGACTCCTGAGAGGGGACTCTCTGTTATGATGGACCGGACACACCTGTCACCTGTCCTGTTTGTGTCCTTCAGGTGGACGGTTTCTTCACGCTGGTGTTCGGTTTGAGCAGCATCAACACGCTGACAGTGATCAGCATCACCCGCTACATCAAAGGATGTCACCCGAGCAGAGGTCAGAGGTCACACCCTCCTATTTACTGCCGAGGCTCCTGATTGTTTTTTGTAGTAGAGATGTAGAGTCACCTGATAGGAAGTTAGCTGCACTGCTAACCAGCACACCAGCA